TTAATTAGTTGAGCTAATTCAAGTTAACCCTAAAGTCACACCCATGGGTATATACCTCTCTACAAATTCTGCGTTTGAATCATTCCTCTCCCTTTTTTTTTTATCATAACCCAACGTTTATTTTAAGTTATTTTTAGGGATGGCAAAACGGATTAGCCCGCCCTGTTTTGGCTCGCCAAAAATAGGGCGGGGCGGGCTAGCCCGATATAGTCATGACGGGCTGTAGACCTTGATCCGTCCCGCCAAGGGACGGACTGACGGGCCCGTCATAATTTAGAAAAAAATAATTTTTTTAAAAATATATTTTTTAATAAATTTAATAATAAGATTATTATTTATTTGTCAATAATTTAATATATATATATATATATTATTTCAATTTAATAATATAAATCAATACATTATTTTAAGAATTTATAATTTAGAACAATAATAAAATTTATATAATAATAAATAATAACAAATATATATATATATATATATATATATATATATAAATAACGTTAAACTTATAAAATTTATATTTTTTATATTGAAAAATTCAAATACCTATATCTTTTTTATTTAATAAAACTTCATATTATTCTTGGTTGAGTAATTCTTAGACTTTTAATTCAAATAATAAAGATAAAAATAATCGAGTGTTTAGGATAAACAAGGAGAACAAGAGAGAAAGTTATGTTTTAGAAAGAAGAATATTTTATGTGGGAGTGAAACTTTTTTAATTCTCTTTTTTAAAATTTTTAACTTTATATATTATCTTTATAATTAATTTTATTACAATAAAAAATTATTTTTTTATTAATTAGACGGATCTGCGGGTTGGCCGTCCTGTCCCATGAAGTTAGCCGACGGGTTAGCGGACTTGACGGGACAGACTAAAGCGAGCTGATGGACTGAAAATACCAACCCGTCTCACCATATTATGACACATTAACAGGCTGACCCGCCAATACGGTTTTGCCATCCCTATTATTCTCCATCATCTATCTAATCTCAATAATGTAAAATATTTTTAGGTTACTGGGAATGTTTATGATAAAATTGAGTGTTTGGAATGTAGTTAAGGTTGTATTATTAATGTGAAAAGGTAAAAGGTTGGATGGTAGTGGAAGTTGACATCATGACCTTACATCATGGTGGTGGTAGGTCAGGGCTTAAATTAATTAGTGGCATACTTCTATCACATTCCAAAATTATAATAACATGAAATCAAAAGTTGAACTTAATTATTTGCTTCAGTTTCTACGGTACTCACCTTGACTCAACTCTCATCAACAACAAATGGCAGTTTTAAGCCGTTGGGATGGTGAATGGGAGAATACCAACCAGAGAAGGAATAATTTCAATGGAAAGACCACAACTCTACAACTTAATAAAAGGTATCCACTTTTTCTAGGGTTTTCATCATTTTCCAAAGTTTATTGGATCATAAATTCATTTTGTTATAATCATATAATTATCAGAGGAAAGAGTCAAATTAATATACAAAAGTAAGGGAATTGAGATTTGCAGATGACGTATTATTTTCTCTAATTCTTTCTTCTATATATATTTAAAAAAATGTTTATTGCAGTGTTTATTATATATATAAAATTATTAAATTTTATCCTAAAATTAACTTAAGAAATTAATAAATATATAATTCGAGGAATCGAAATAAATAGACTCAAAATTTTCTATTATCTACTAACTTATATTTAATGAGTCATTTTAATAATAATGAATTAGTTTTAAGTTAAAATTTTATATAATATTAGAATTTTTTTAGGTTTTGTAATGGTATATTCAAGAATTTATAATTGTATAAAAATTGAAATTAAAGATAATTTATATATAATCTTATTTATCTGTTTACTGTTAAGATTTTTTTTAAACAAAACTGTGAGAAACTATAATTCTAGCAAACAGTGTTAATAAATCCTAACAATGTTAATATAATAAACATAAGTAAGAATATTCTCTTATATTTTAGATGGAACATTTTATTTATAGATTGAACATTATCATCTATTATAAGGTTGAAAATAAAATTTCTATTATCTCCGAATAAAGAGATATGTTTTAGTACTTTTATTACTCTTATATCACTTAGGAGTTGAGACTTATAATAATTTATATATATTTTCTTCTTTTAATCGATTGAGACACTATGTAAAAATCAAATTATGACTAATTAAAATTTAAAAACAGACAATACATATCAATAAACTCTCAAAATAATACCATACGAGATAAAAAAAAAAAAAAGACTCTTTTAATCTAATCTAATTTCACTTATAAGTATTTTTTTTAGGAGAGATGTTGAAAAAAAAACTCATATTTCTTAAATTCTCTCCAACATCAATTAGTTGTAAGTTAAAGTTTGAAAATTAATTAATCTAACTCAATTAATTATACATCAAATATGTATATATATGAGGGTCACTCCATTGAAATTTGATTCCACAGTTTGGTGTTTTTCCAAGTCAAAACACGTCATGACTTCAAAATCTTCATCATGGCTATGAACCTTGCAAGTAAGTACCCTCGTGAGAGGGAAAAAAAAAAAAAGAAAAAAAAAGAAAAGAAAAGTGAAGTGATTGAAAATTGAGATAGATAGTGTGAATTGGGAAGTGTCTTGAACTGCCTCACCAACCCAATCAGCTTGTGTTTACGCGGAAACCTTCCAAGTCATCGCATAAAAGTCTTCTCTTTTCCTCCCAATTTATGTAACCTTTTTTCCTATCAACATCGTAATGTACAAACACACCCAACAATTATTTAGGGTTTGCTTCAACAATTTAAAATAAAAATAAAAATGTTACCCTTCCTATTTTATCCTCTTTTAAATATATAAAAGATTTTATTTAAAACAAATTAATTGTTCCTCTCTCTGCTTCTAAAAAAACTTTATTTTTAAATAGTTATTTTAAAATTTAAGATTATATCAATAATAAATTATTATAAATAATTCTAAAAATAAAATTAAAAATCACTTCAAAAAACATATGTAACTGTTAAAATTTTACACCAAGAAATCAAATAGCTTCAATTTATTGAAAAAAAAAAAGTTTTATGTGGCCAGAAACATATACTGAGATTAGTCAAGACGCGTTCAGGATAGAAATTTCGTTTTTTGTTTTTTAAAAAAAAAAAATCCTCTGATTTTAAAATTATTGTATCAGTTCATGATTCAACTTGTATTATGGTGAAGACAAAAATGGGGTTCCTTGTTTTGTTTTTCAAATGGTATGTGACCAAACCTTCTCATAGCTTTTGACCCAGACTTCAGATGATAATTTGTAAATTAGGTTAAACGACTTCAATTCTTTGTGCTTATTCAACGTGAAATTTTTTAAGTTTCTTTTTTTCCACCGAAACAACGCAAGAAATCACTTAACTTCAGTTGAAAACAAGTGCTTCTATAATCAGTGGCGGATTAACCAATAGGATAATTTACTTAATTTGATATAGAGTAAACGGAAAAAAATAAAATAAAAATTTAAAAACTTAATTTATAAAAAATATAGACGCAGACCTTTTAGTATATGTATTTCTATTAATATATAATATTTTTATTTTAAGAATAAAAGTTTGAGATTTATTTTTTATTATCTATTTTTTAATTTAATGGTTAAAATAAAATATTATTTTAAATTATTTGATTATAAGAATTAATAATAAACATGTAAATTTCTAATTTTTATTTTGAAGTGAATGATGTCATGTATAATAGAAAATAATTTAAAAATTAAAATTCTCTAAAATTGTTAAGCACTCCCTTTAATATTCTTGTTTGAAAATATTAATGTGGTTAAGGTCCCTAAACAGGCACATATACTCCTGGATAAGATTGGGCTTAAGCCCAAACCCATCATCAAAGTTGGTATCACAAGTAGACAATTTCGATGATCAAACTTTATAATGAGACCAGTTAGAGAGTAAATAGTGTTAATTAATTATATGAATTCCATTTAATCTGTTCCTCAATATGGATTTTCATTGGGTATAGGGTAAAGGCCCAACCACATGCACTATAACGTTGGGTTCAAGTTACCAAGGCCATTTCTTTTGCAGCCCACGTTTGAATTCCTGCACCCCAAAATTTCAATATATCTATTTTAAATATATATTTTTAAAATAAAATATTTTTATTTTTATTTTTATTTAAAAAGGTCGAGATGTATTTCTCTAATCTTTATAATCCATCAAATTAAATCTATCTTATTTTCCTATCTAAACTCAAATTTAAAAAATAATAAAAATGTTTTGTTCTTTTTCCAAATATTTTCTCATTGATTTATCCTAATAGTTTTACAAGAATATTCTTAATACTTTGGCATAAACTCCAAAACTGTGATGTCAATGTAGGAGCAATGATGGCCACAGATATATTCCTGATATTTTATGTGGCCCTACCACTGAACATTTCATGACAAATATTTTCAAAAATCATATAGGTGGTTGGTACAACACGTGCAAAACTTCCTACATATACAAAATTATTAATTGTAACATATCTTTCCAAAAATGATCACTGATTCTGGTTTAAAGCAAAATACTTTAGAGGAAAAAAATGTAAAAAAGAAAGAATAAAGTTAATACTTCTGAAAATAAAAATTGCACCTTTCATTTTCCTTTCCATTCAAATTTCAAACTTTTTAATCCTAATTTTCAGTCTCCCTCTGTCACATTCAGCGGACCAATGAGGTTAAAGAAAGGCAAAATGCACAAATTCCATATTAGTGAGTCAAATTCATTCATCTTTCCAATGGTGCATGAAGACTAACCAAGATCTACAAGTCAAAAGCAGAGGAAAGCTAACTCAAACACCTCTAAACCCCTCAATTTCTTAGTGAGAACATATCCAGTTTGTGACAGGTAAGCATGTTGTCACTTTTTACCTTTTTCTCCTTCCAGCACATCTATGAAATCATATGTCCTAGATCTACCTTTTATTCCTTCACGGATGGTTTCAAAAGCAGCAATAGTGTTACTTACCTATAAGTCTTCTGGGAATGTTTTACCAGGGTACTCAACTCCCCCCTCCAAAAGGCAATGATTCACCTGATGGTGTTCGAGTTTCACCAAGAGTCAGACTCAGTGATGGAAGGTACCTTGCTTATAGAGAAAAGGGTGTCCCCAAGGACCAAGCAAAACACAGCATCATCATTGTCCACGGCTTTGGCAGCTCCAAAGACATGAATTTTCTGGCACCCCAAGTACAGACACTAACCTCAATCTCTCTTCACAAAACTTGCTTGTGTTGATTTGAAAATAGTAGACATGTTATGTTGGATTAGTGGGTTTAGATCTAATTAGAATCCTTAGGTGTTGGGTCTTTCGAGGGATACACCAATGGCATACCCAGTACTTTCATCCCAAAACCTTTAGGATATGGATCTTACACCCTTACATCAACATCCCAATACTAGATAAATAAAAAGTAAGCTATCAACAGTGCTAAACAACATGCTTGATTGAAATAAGTTGTGAGAGAAGCAAGGGGAGTAGATTCAGAATGCCATAACTGACTCCATCGTTATTGGAGCAGTTAGCAACAACCATCTCGTCTCATGTGGGAAAAAAAATTATCTTTTTCTCAACATGTCTTCGTCATTTAATCTAATTTATTTTAACTATTGATGCAGTTTTAGAACAGGAAAGTCATGCACAATGAATCAACAATTCAGAATACTATTGACAAATCATTAGACATAGGGGTTCTGGTTAGATAATTGAATACAAAGAAGATGTGTTGATTAATCTTTCTATTGAGCCCTTTTCCTTTTTTTTCCACCAACTTGGAAATTGTAATGGATTCTAAGTTTTGAAACATCTTTACAAAATTTGGATATTTGATAAGCATAGAAGTTGCAGTGTATCTATTCAAATATACAAACTAAGATAACACTGACACTAATTCTACAGGAACTGATAGATGAATTGGGCATATATATTCTTCAATATGACCGGGCAGGGTATGGAGAAAGTGATCCAAACCCCAAACGCTCACTGAAAAGTGAAGCACTTGACATCGAAGAGCTCGTTGATCAGTTACAGATAGGGTCAAAATTTTATGTGATTGGAGTCTCTATGGGGTCATATGCTACATGGAGTTGTTTGAAATACATCCCCAACAGGCAAATTTCAAGCCTCAAAACATAAATTTCTAGACACATGTATGTTTTCAAAACAAATAATACAGTAAATGACATTACATTTCTAAATACATTTTTGGTTTCAGAAAATTTTTCTGTTTTCTATCAAAAAAACATGTCATTTTTGTAATTATTTGTGAGAAAATACGAGTAAACACATAAAATAAACTGGTCAAAATTTTTATTTCACCACAAGATCAACATTTCTGCAGGATAGCAGGTGTAGCTATGATAGCCCCAGTGATAAATTATCAATGGCCTTCCTTTCCAGGGAGTCTGATAAAAGAGGACTACAGGATGAAACTTATCAAGTGGACCGTGTTGCTTGCAAAATATTTCCCTAGGCTGTTGCAATGGTGGGTGACTCAAAAGTGGCTCCCTTCAAATTCTGTCATAGAAAAAAACCCAGCTTTCTTCAACAAAAGAGATATCGATATTTTAGAAACTATTCCTGGGTTCCCAATGCTTAGCAAGGTAAGTCACATGTTTCTTGAACTTGTTCTATTATGTGAATATAGATAGGTTTTGTTTGGATAAATGTCTCAGCAACTACTTCAGGAAGAAGAAGATAAGAGATAAAATAAATTAAATTTTTCTCCAATCTTCAAACTAAAAGTTAAATAAGAGAACTCTTATAAATTAACTTACTCGAGTCAATTTTAACTTACCTGAGAAACTATCTCATTTAACTTTTTTATTTTCTTCTCTCTTAACTACTGCTTTGCTTAGTATATTAGCTTATTTTTTCTGTTAGTGTTTTCTGTTGCTTACTTTGTTGGCTTAGAGCTTTCTGATTCTTTTCTATTGCTTTACCTTGTATAAATACACTCCTTCATATCATAATAATATGAAAAAACTTACATTGGTCATTCTTTTCGCCCTTTTTCTTCTATTGGGATCTCTGTTGTTGTATCAAAGTCCTTCTCTTGAAGGGCTCTGCTGCATTTCACACGTCTCTTTTCTTCTTCGTCCATAATCATGAGTAATAATCAAACACCTAGCGTGCATAGTTATTTGTATCTCTATCCTAGTGAGAATCCAACAACAACACTGGTATCTCCTCTTCTTGATTCCACTAATTATCATTCATGGAGTTGATCTATGATGATAGCTCTTAGCGCGAATAATACCACTTCATGCTTGGAGAAGGTGCAATAACAAGGTAGTTTCGTGGATTGGGCATTTTGTTTCCATTCCGATTCGTCACAACATCCTTTGGATGGACAATGCGGAAGATATATGGTCAGACCTAAAATGACGTTACGCACAAGGGCATATGTTACGAGTGTCAAAACTACAATAAAAAGCCTCTTCTATGAAGCAAGACAATCTTTCTGTCATTGACTTTTTCACTAAACTCAGAATTGTATGGGACGAAATAAAGAGTTTCAGACTTGATCCGGTATATACTTGTGCACCTAAATGCTCTTGCAAAGTTTTGTCTCTCCTCGCTCAAAGAAAACTTGAAGGTAGAGCCATGCAATTCTTGCGTGGATTAAATGAACAATATAGCAATGTCGATCTCATGTATTGCTTATGGATCCATTGTCTTCAATTTCTAAAATATTCTCTCAACAAGAACTGCAATTAGCTACACCCGTTGTATGCTTCTCCATCTGAATCGATGATTAATGCTACTACTATTGTTTCTTGCACCTGTTGTGGTAGCACTGGTCACAGAAAAACTGTTTGTTAGCAACAATAAACCAAATACTTTTCGAAGTGGTAAAGTGTGCACTCATTGTAGACATCAAGGACACATGATTGATATTTATTATCGTAAGCATGGGTTCCCTCCTGGATACAAATTTTCTTATTCCAAACATACCACCAATAACACTATGACTGAAACTGGTAATGTCATGGGGAATGATCAATGTAAGGTTTTAGAGAACCTATATCTTCGTTTTTCTCCATAGCAGTTTCATGCACTGCTGAATTTAATCCAACAACCAAACAATGGTGCTTCATTTGTGTCCTCATCTCATTTCAATCAGATCGGATCTATTTCTTCCTCCTTAGATACCATTCCAAAGCTTCCTGGATCTTAGATTCGGGAGCAACTGATCATGTTTCATCTTCATTAACAAATTTTTCTTCCTTTCAAACTATTAAACTTATCATCGTTAAACATCCCACGAGGCAACAGGTCACTACTACACACTCAGGGAACGTTCATTTTAGTGATTCTTTCTACCTCACAAATGTTTTGCATATTCCCACTTTCACGTTCAATCTAATTTCAATATCTAAACTCGTGTTTTCCCTTCACTCTGATTTGATTTTCTCACATAATTCTTGTATTATACAGGACACGAACACAAATAGAAGATTGGTACATTGATGTAAATGTTGAATTATAGACTATTACTTTTCCTGCTGAGGTCGATAGTTCTATTCACACTACCATTATTCAACCCCAATGTAATAAAATCCCTATTGACTTGTGGCATTTTTGTCTAGGTCACTCTTCCCATAAACGTTTACAAAACATGAAACACACATATTCTTGGTTGAGCAGTGATCAAACCTTTACTTGCAATACATGCCATCATGCTAAATAAAAAAAGTTATATTTTCCTTTAAGTAATTCACATGCTAATACACCTTTTAAACTTTTACATATGGATATTTGGGGTCAGTGTTCTACTACTTCCATATTCAGCCACAAATATTTCTTGACTATTGTCGATGATCATACACATTACGTTTGGATTTTTCTCATGCAATCTAAAAACGAAACAAGTTCTCATATTATTCATTTCATTACTTAATGGAGTTGAATTTCTCATGAATGATTATTTTTCTTCAAAAGGAATTATACACCAGACAACATGCATTGAAACTCCTCAACAAAATGGAATTGTTGAACGTACACATCAACCTCTTTTAAACATTTCAAGAGCATTACTTTTTCAATCCAATCTTCCTTTAAGTTTCTGGTATTTTGCTCTTTCACATGCTGCATATCTTATAAACTGCATTCCTACTCCTTTTTTACAAAATGTCTCACCTTTTGAAAAAATTTATAAAATGCTTGTGATATTACTAATTTATGCATTTTCGGATGTTTATGTTATGCGAGTACACTCACCACTCAATGTAGGAAATTAGATCCCTGAGATCATCCATCCATATCTCTCGGCTTTAAACCCCACAACAAAGGTTATTTACTTTATAACTTGCATTCTCACAATCTTACTGTCTCCAGACATCTTATATTCTATGAGGATCATTTTTCTTCCATTCATTCTTCTTCTCGTTCACATTCTCCTTCCTTATCCTTACCTCATCTTACATCTTTCTCCCCTCCTAATCATCCTGACCTTATTCCTGCTCATAACCCTTTTTTAGGTATGACAATTTCTCCTCTTCCTAACCTTCGTCATTCAACCCAAAATCGTCAACCTCCTCCTTATTTAAAAGATTTTCACAGTGCATTTACATCCACTCGGTCATCTATTGATAGTGTTCGTTATCCTCTTGAATGTTTCTTATCTTATCATCGTTTATCACCATCTTTTCATAAATATATCATGTTTATTTCCTTTGTGATTGAACCAAAGACATATGCTGAGGCTACCAAGTTTAAAGTTATGCATCTGTATATCGTTGCTTGTTTAGCAAACTCATCTACTTAACTCACACACATCCTGATATTATGTATGTTGTTCGCCATTTAAGTCAATTTGTGTCTTCTCCTACTAAAGTACATTATCAAGTTGCATTTCGCATTCTTTGTTATTTGAAGGGTAACCCTGGTACAAGCATTTTTTTTTTTTTTCTGTAAATGTTTCTTTTAGCTTGGCTTTTAGTGACTCCGATGGGACAGGTTGTGTTGACTTTTGTCGCTCTATAACTGGTTTTTCGATCTACCTTGGATTTTTTCTAATTTTATGGCGCTCTAAGAAACAATCTACAGTGTCCAAGAGTTTTTCAGAGGCTGAGTATTGCGCCTTCGCTTCCACTACTTGTTAGCTTCAATGACTCACATACTTACTTGAAGATTTTCGTACGCATTTTATTCGTTTAGTGTTGTTGTACTACGATAATCAATCAATCCTACAAATTGTTTTTAACCAAGTTTTTCACGAACGGACAAAATATATTGATATTGACTGCCACATTGTGAGAGAAAAAGTTAATGATAGTCTAATAAAACTCTTACCCATATCCTCGTCTCTTCAACTTGTCGATGTTTTTACAAAAGCTTTATCTCCGGCACTGGTCCAAGCTGGGAATGCTTAATATTCATTCCCTGCTTGACGGGGCTCTTAGCTACTGCTCTGCTTAGTTTGTTCGCTTATTTTTTTTGTTAGAGCTTTTTGTTACTTAGTTTGTTAGCTTATTTTACTGTTAGAGCTTTCTGTTTCTTTTCTATTGCTTTACCTTGTATAAATACACTCCATCATATCATAATAATATGAAAAAGCTTACATTGATAATTCTTATCGCTCTTTTTCTTCTATTGGAATCTCTATTATTCTCTTATAAGTGGGTTTTTTGAGAAGTTTATACATATAGGATCATAGGAAAACCTCTTTGAGGTGATGGTGATGCTGGTATGTTCCTTCTTACAGGACAGATTAAGGGAACAGGTTGTTTTTGACACTCTGAGAGATGACTGGATGGTGGCCTTTGGCAAGTGGGAATTTGACCCTATGAAGCTAAGTAATCCATTTCCTCAGAACACAGGTTCAGCTCACATTTGGCAGGGCTATGAAGATAAGGTAGTGCCCTCTCAAATCCAAAGGTTTGTTACAGAGAAGCTGCCTTGGATACAGTATCATGAAGTTCCAGATGGTGGTCATTTGATTGTGCACTATAGTGGCTTATGTGAGGCCATTCTGAAGGCACTTTTACTTGGAGAACAAAATCTTTCATATAGACCTAGATCGGAAGTAGTTGTATCTTGATTTGCCATTATCTCTGTCTACAACATAAACTTCTCTTCTTGTTTTATTTTTTTCTTTTTCTGGAGATTGTCAAACATGTAAATCACATTCGTTGATTGAAAGGAGGCCAATATCATACATGTAACTTCATTTTTTTGCAGAAATTTTTTTATGCTCTCTTTTCTAGATCAGCTTATTTAGTGGAATCATCATGAAATTTCACTCAATAATAGTAATAGTAAAAGAGAGTGATGCTAGGCTGCATATTTTTGTTGGTTGAAAACATCAAATTTACTTGAAATATAATTATACCAGATTTCTATTATAACTAACCAGCATTCACTGGAACCTGAAACTGAAAGAGGGTGAAAAGAAGACTACACAGATTATTGTGACTATAGTAAAGTTATACTTTCATAACCCAAAGTGATGATAGAATTTCCCTTACACCTACTCCATCAAATGATTGTTTGTTCATGTAGTCAACTGCAACAGGGGCACAAAGTTGGAGCTAGCCACTTATTTTTTTAACTTCAAATGCAAAATTTGAAATAACTTTCACATTTTTTCAGTTAACAGCAAAGCAGGACCTTGTTGAAGTTTAAAATGTACTTCAGGATATTTGGCCTGTGAATGATCAATCAAATTGAAAGGATAAAAATTGAACAATAATTAAGCCTTTATAAGGACTCAGGTATGCTTTTGTTAAATATGGCAAAACGAGTTAGTCTATCCTATTTTGGTCCGTCAAAAATGAGATTGGCTCATTATAATTAAAAAAGAATTTATTTTTTTAAATCAAAATTTTTAATAAACTTAATAATAAGATTATTATTTGTTTGTCAATAATTTAATATATATATATATATATATATATATATTATTTCAATTTAATAATATAAATCAACACATTGTTTTAGGAAATTATAATTTAGAATAATAATAAAATTTACATAATAATAAATAATAACAAATATATATATATATACATATATATATATATATATATATAACGTAAAACTTATAAAATTTATATTTTTTATATTGAAAAATTTAAATACCTATATCTTTTTTATTTGATAAAACTTCACATTATTTTTGCTTAAGTAATTATTACACTTTTAATTCAAGTCATAAGAGTAAGAATAATCAATGTTTAAGATGAACAAGGAGAACATAAGAGAGAAGTTTGTGTTTTAGTAAGAAAAATATTTTATGTGAGAGCGAAACTTTTTTAATTCTTTTTTTAAAATTTTTAACTTTATATATTATCTTTATAATTAACTTTATTATAATAAAAAATTAGTTTTTTATTAATTAAATGGGTTGCAGGTTGGCTTAACAGATTGACGGACTTGGTGAGACGGATCAGAACGGATTGACGGACTAAAAATACCAACCTATCTAACATGTTACGACGAACTTGTCCATTTGTCATTCCTAATTTTGTGTTTGATTTTAGTGTTAAATAGTTTACTACTCTTTGTACATACGGATTATTAAAGCTGCACATAATGACATAAGATAAGATTAGAGCTATAGGTGTTAAGAACTAGAGCTAATTGATGTGTATATCAAGTACACAGCATAAACTGCTCAAACTAAACCAGTTGCATGATTCTTAGAAATATGTTTGATGAACACTAAGTTATATGCTTCTGCTAAAGAAATATGATGATTTTATGTATTGTAATATAAAAATAAAGTTATGAATTCGAGTTAAAATTAAATTTTTTTCTCTCATATAAAACAAATAAGAAAACTAAAATTTTTGGAAATAATCAATTATGTTTGTGTAAAAAAAATTTAATTAATATTTTTTATTGTTACAATAATAAATCAATTAAAACTTTTATATTTTTCTATTTTTTTTAATCCAAAAATCTCAACTTATACTCTTTTTCTCATATTTTCTATTCTTTCAATTATGTTTTTCAATTTAAATAAAAGCTTCATGAAAATAAACAGGAGGATAGAAACATATACCAATCAAAATTGGATTCATTTAAAAATATAATCTATCATAACTAGTAAATAAATTAAATGTTTAATTTACACTTTAAAAACAGATTTCTATGTAATAATTAACTGAGATTGCGGGGTATAATTTATGGTTTCCGCAAATTAAACTTGTTTAGTTTATGAATTACGCATAATAAACATAGATTTAACTCAAAATATGAATTACTTACCAAAAACTTAACTCAAAATATATATAGTTATAGAATATAGATTTAAAGTCAATAATAATACCTCATAAATATATAATATATGTATTTGAAAGATAATTCTACTAAATCTTGAAAAAAAAAATCAAATAACACTAATTATATCAAGGTTTTGATTTTTTTTTACTTTAAAAAATAGTTTCATGTTGTAAATATGATTCAAATTGAGTTACAATCATTTTTTTTATTTAATATATAAAATAAATATTCAATATAAAATATAAAATATTGAAAGAAATAAAGAATAAAAGATATATCCACATAGGTAAAAATTCATATTTGTAATAGGCAAGGGTTTAATAAAAATATTCGTCTACTCGTCGTGAAAGTTAGAATTGTACTAGAAAAAAATTGACTATAACCAAACTAATAATATTTTTTTTTTATAGTTTCCAAACAAGATGGATTCACGCGATCAACAACATGATCTTGAATAGAAAGAAAACTATTAGGAATTTTCCAAGTGTTTTTGCTGGGAAATAAAATGATAGAAATACAATGAGGCGTCACGTTGATCTGAGTTCCAAGTTACCGTGGTCAAGCTTCAAGATACTGGAAAAAGAGTTCTATGGAGTGTTGGAAAAAGAGATGATTGCACTCCGATTTAGTAAAAAATCAAAACAATGGAAAAGTGTATATTCTATTATCCATATTAAATATCACATCATTTTAATTTATAGTGATCTTACTGGGAATCTCATTAAATAGTAATTAAAATTTGTTTTAAATGTGATTTATTTTCTATAAGATGCTTTTAATATATAACCAAGTAATTAAGGTCATAAACTAACTAATTATTTTAACCAGGATTCTAGTTTGACTTCTAAAAAATTAGACGAATATACAATCTTCTGAAACTCATAATTTGAGGAGGTGAATGAGTTTAATTACCAAACTTTGGTTTGGTTGAGTTGTTTGGCTTTTTTTTTTTGTCGAGTTAAGGTTATGTTATTGTACTTGAAAACCATTTTGTATTTTGGCACGCGATATAAAGGTACATCACATGTTTTAATAGATTTTTTTTTAATATGACTAGGGATCTTAAATGTGCCACAAAGGAATTTTTCTCAATTATCATGTGAAAGCATAAGAAGATTTCTCTAATTTAACTTATTTTCTTAGAGTCTTCCTTCAAATCTTTGAGTATGTTTATTTGTTTTTCCTTCTGTATTTTGTATAATATCTTTTGCTTTTGATTATGAGTCTTTCGATGATTCTAACGACTCTATCAAGTCGTTAATGGATGGATGCAAGATTAATTTATTGTTTATGAATTTGTCAAGTGAGTTTCACGAACTCCAATCTTAGATCAGAATGTTCATGTCATCGTTGCTTTCCGTCATAGTTACCCTTCCTAGTCATCGTAGGTTAGAAACTTGGAAAACGATGATTGTCACTGCAAGGGGTAATCGGAGGACTCATTTTCCTCCTATCTCGAATCCTAAGTACAACTGGGTACTCGACGAGGTTGATTTTTATGCTTTCGAGCTTACCTCCATTTCTTTCATGGAGGATATTTGTAAGACATGTGGTATTTGTGTTGATACAAGTATTGGTCTTGTCACTATTAAGGCTTGTCCTACTTATTGATCGAGTTTATATGAAACCTTTATTAAATTATGAAGATTTTAATTATGTTTATGAATGGACTTAGATATCCTTATCCCCTTTTTCGACTTTGAATGTGATATGATATCCATTCTTTGTGTAATGCCTAATCAACAACACCCAAATAGTCAAACATTTTTTAAAAGCGTTTTAGATTTTGTTTGACCTTTTCATCTTAACTCCTACTGTAAATAAGTTTATGTATTTTTACGAGTTGAAGAATGACCAAGAGGTCACTTGGGTATCTTTGAATGGTTCCCAACATGACAGTCTGTTCAACATTTTTTCTTTCTCCTTTAAACATTTCAAATCTCATTTTTCCAAAATAAAATGTGTCAAGGTGGACCCATCTCGTCACTTATTTCTTAACTTGATGACTTTCTGTGTTTTCCTTTTTATTTGCGGGATCTCCATAAGTTAAAATCATGGGTCGAACTGCTAATGAAAGGAGAGGGTCAACTAAGAGAAAAACAAAGGTTGACAAACCTTATCATGGTTGAGCCTGAGCAACCTGAGGTTGAAATAATGGATGAGATCGCACCTTTTGCACACTCTCCCACGCCCCAACCTCCATCTCCTTGGGGCTCACCGAAAAAACCTTGAGTTTTGCATGAAACTCCTCCTCACCCTTTGATGTACGTTGTTCGCAAAATGGAGGGGTTACTCACCTGCCTCGATCATGTCTCGATTAACAACCTAGAAGTTGAGTCTTTGTGGCTCTTGAACATGACCATAGACAAGATGATAACACCTCGTTCCCCTTTTCCCATGATATTAGGATGATCCGCTTGGTGGGTCCTCGTGATATTTTGGATTTCGTCAAGGTCATGTTAGGATGGTGCTTATTAGTAGTCCACATGTGGAAGAACACTGTGACTGACTTGCATTGTGGTGAAGGCCAGAGGATGAAGGAGATGCTTGCCCATAAAAAAGAAAAGAAGGAATTTCTTAGCAAGATTGCCAATCATGGAGTCGCCTTCACAACCAAAGCAAAAGAAAACTAAGCCCTTGTGTAGGATATCTTTTCATTGACAGAGAGATCTGAGAAGGCGATAAACTCTACCACGACAGTGATCCAAAAATTGGAGGTGTCCGAGGTTGAAATTAAGGTGGCCAAGGAGAAGGTTGAGTTGCTCGAGGCAAAGCTTACCGAGCTTTAAAAGACATATAACAAGCATTCGGTTGAGCTTTTAATAACCAAGGGACAACTGGTAGAGGTGTACGGAGACGACTTTAAAAAAAGCTGTGGAGTAGGCTATTGTCATCTGCCTTGGTATTAATACCTAGCTTTTTTATGGAAAAAAGTTGGCGATAGATGGTCTGCTAATGCTAGAGCCTTTGTAAAAAATTTAATGATTTGTAGCATTGTAATTAATGAAATGAGGTTTTTGGTTTTCATTTCTTTGCATTTGTGTTTATAACATGAATGTTTTATACTTAGTATGGTAGACCAACCTTAACATTTGAATAAATATGCTTAAGAATATGAGCATAGCTAATGGTTTACCTTAACTATAAAATGCTTTGAGATGAGTTGTATTTCATGTTCAAGTATTATTTTCCCGAAAAACTCTTGTAATTTGTATACTTTATTATGGAATGAGTCCAGTTCGAGGGCTAGCTTTTCATCTGCTTGGTCCCTACGAGCTTCTCCAACCATTTTCCATATAAAAACACTTTTTTTGAAAACTTCTTTCTCTCACCCTTGTGTTATATCTTCTTTATACCTTTTTCTTGATTGCTTCTTCTTGTATATGAGCTTGATCTTAGATTTCATTGACCAAGTCCAACTTGGTCCTACAATTTTCATCAAAGTTTTTCTTTCTCTAGAATCCTTCCTAATCTCAACAGTATCATATCATCACTTTCATATGTTAAACGAAAAGTTTTCTTTTTATTATAGAGAATTGAGGAGTACAATGATACCCATAAAGGATATTCTTGATTTCTTCGGAACAATTTCTTTTTCCTGACCAAACTTGCATTTAAGCTCGTTCAAAATAACTTTGTTAGCAACTTTTACCTATCCCATGCTTGAGGATGCTCTATTGATGTGGCGAAATGTTTTATGGTTAACCCTTCTAAGAATTGTTATAGATCCTTATCAATGAAGTACCTCTCATTGTTAGTAAGTATGGTATGAGGAATTTCATGTTTACGAATGATGTTTTTTTACAAACTTCTGAATTTGCTGAGTTGAGATGGTGGCTAATGGTTTTACATCAATCCACTTAGTAAAATATTTCATTGCTACAATTAGGAACTTGACCTTGGAAATGGACCAAGAATGTCAACACCTTTTGGCAAATGGCTAAACTACTCGAACAATGTGGAGTTCCTCGGGGGTACTTTAAAAACTGGTCTAAACTTTTGACATGATTCACATTTTTTCATAAATTCATTTCCATCTTGTTTCAAAGTCGGTCAATAAGAACCTACTCTTAGTATTTGAGTTTCCATGCTCCTTGCCCTTGAATGGATTCCACACATTTTATTATGCAACTCAGTCATCACATAAGCAATCTGGTATTCATCCAAACATATCAATAGAGGTCCTTAAAAACCTCTTTTGAATAATTCCCTATCATGCAAGACAAAGAATGTTGTCATATTTTTCGAGCTTTTTCTGGTATGGTTAGTGGCACCCTATTTGTTAAACAGGGATCATCCATGTTGTTTTAGACGGGGTTTTAAGAGTTGTTTTGCAAAAGTGTTTTATATTGTCCTAATTTTTTATTTTGTCAAGCTTTGAAATAATATTAACTATAATATTTTGTTCTCGGGGTATAAGGACAATCTTAATCTGGTTAAAATATTTTATCAAATTCATGACTATACGATGACACTTGTGAATGGATTGTTCCTTGGCTTGAAACTCTCCACTGACTTGCCTAATTATTGAATCACTATTATAATGTAACTCTTTAAATCTCATTTCTATTGCTAACTTTAGGTCAACAATTAAGGATTCATACTCAATATGATTGTTGGACACCTTGAACTTAAACCTTAGTGTTTTTTTTAGCATGATATAGTTAGGACCTTCAAGAATGATCCTTACCCCATTACTTTTACTATTTAAGGAACCGTCAACCCCAAGGTCCACCATTCATGTTTATCTCCCAAAGGTGAGAGTTTGAAAAGAAAATCAGCTAAAAATTTAGCTTTCATTGGACCTCGACTATAATAAGAAATATCAAATTCTGACAACTCAACTGTCCAAGCTATCATCCTTTCAGCTAACTCGGGTTTTTGTAGTATCTATCTTATAGGATAGTAAGTTTTTACTATTATGGGGAAACTTTGAAAATAATGTCTCACCCTTTGAGCTAAATTTATCAAAGTTAGAATAAGTTTTTCAATATGAAATATCTTATCGTTAATGATTGTAAAATTATGCTTTTAAAATATACCAAGTTTTTTTAGTTACCTGTCTCACATACTTAGACTGAGCTTATACTCATATTAGAGGCTGCTAGAATACAAGAAGAATGCCTTTGGGATATGGATTAGTAAGTATAGGCAAAGAAGTTATATCCATTTTAATTGCTTGAAACATGTCGTTGCATTCATTGTTCCATTTAAATTTTTGTGCTATTTTATACAACTTGAAAAATGTTTTTTTTTTTTTCCTTTTTGGTTATCTTTGGAATGAATTGGGCTAAAGAAACCAATTTAACATTTAACTTTTGCACCTCTTTGACGTTATGAGAGTTTTGCATAGCTAGAATGATTTCACATTTATTAGGGTTTGCTTCAATCCCTCTTTGTATAATCATAAACCCTAGAAATTTACTTCATTGACTTTCTAATATGCAATTCTTCGAGTTAATCCTCATATTATATTTATGCATCTTGGCAAAAATTCTTTAAAGATGTTAGGCATTATCCAAAGCTCTTTTGGATTTAACGACCATGTCATCTACATATCTTCCATTATATCTCCTATTTGATCTTTGAACACTTTATCCATTAATCTTTAGTAAGTAGCCCCAACATTCTTTAAACCAAAAGATATGACTTTGTAGCAAAAATTAGCCCCTTCTGTGATGGAGACTATTTTTTCTTTATCAAGGATACATGGGTATTTGGTTATACTAAGAGTATGCATCTAGAAAACTCAGTACCTAATAGCTAAAGGTATTATCCACTAGTCGATCAATGTTCAACAAGAGATAAGAATTTTTTGGACAAGTTTTATTTTGGTTGGTGTAATCAACACACATACACTATTTACCATTAGATTTTTATCTAACACCACATTTGCTAGCCAGGTAATGCATGTTACATCTCGAATGATATCAATCTATTCTATCTTTTTAACTTCCTATTTTACAACTATTCATCTTCTTCCCCTAATTTACGTTTTTTATTGTGCTATATGTTTAGCCTCATGCAAAATGGAAAGTTTATGACACATAAAATTTGAACCAATACTTAGTATGTTAGTTGTGCTCTATGCAAATGGGTTGACATTCTTACTAAGCACGTCCTTCCACCCGTGCAAGTTGGTTTCCATTCAAGGATTTCTTTATGGGGGTGATTTGATTGAGTTTATTTTCAATTTAAGACTTAAATAGTGGTTTTTCAAACCTGGGCTTGGAATCATCTTTTTCGCACTAATGATCCATATCAATCTCCTTAACATTGTTCTGACTATGCAACTTGCTCTCATTAATTCTCTTTAGTGATTATGACCGAGTTTTTAAACTTAGAGTGTCACACTCCGTGACTTCTTTGGGATTTACCTTAATTGATGCAATATGTTTTCCTTCCAATGGAAACTTCATAGCCATGTGTGGGTGGACACAATGACTTCAAATTGATTGAAAGTTCAACGTCCTAATAAAACATTGTAGGACATTTCAACTTCTATCAGTATGTATTTCACTGAGATACTCTTACTCTCTTCTCCAACACCAAAGGTAGTCAACAACATAATATAACCTCGAATATGAACTCGTTCACTAATAAATTCAACCAAGGGATCATGATATGATTGAATAAGGTCATGAGAGATATCCATCTTTAAAAATTAGACAAGTACAATATATCAAACATTGTGGCACTGCTGCACGACAAACATAACAAAGACAGTGACACAATGGTGTGAGGAACAACTGATGACAAGCTTGAGTAAGTGTTTGACTTGTAGAGGCGACATGGAGTGAAGGTGAAGAGGCAAAATAACATCAATTAGGATTACTAAATTATTATAATTATTTTTAAAATTAAAAATGAATTATGAATTATAGGTCAACCCACCATAACCTAACTCGAACATGTTTAACCCTTGGGTTAAGTGAGTCAGGTTCATTTAAGTCCATTATTGATAAAAATGAAAAAAATTAAACCTAATTTGGTTCGAACCTGTCATGACCCGAGTTAGCTTATGTGTTACAATCCATATTGACACACCTACTCTTATTCTTATAGTTTTAGATAAACCTATCGAGGGTACCGACTTGCATAAGGTTCTCTATAATATCTTTGAGTTTTTTACAATTTTCAGTGGTATGACCAAATTTTGATGACATGCTCACTGTTTTTACTAGTCTGCATTAGAGTATGTGGTTGATGGTTTTGGTAATTTTATTGGCTCTAAATTGGACAGTTTTTGTAACATGGTCCAATACTCGTGTCTAAAAGAGCAAACCTCCACTCCTCGTGTTCAAATCACTTGTATGTGTTGTATTTGTTGGAAGGGTCTTCTTTCTTATGTAACTCTCTTCTTTTCGTTATCTCAATGTCTTCTAGTTGTATGAACATGGAAGCCCGAGTTCTGAGCTCTTTTAAGGACTCTTGATAGTTCATATATAAATTATCCAAAAATAAACCTTGCCTAAGTCTAAAAATATACAATATACTGACTTCATTGAATCTTTCTATAAAACTTATCTTGAAGGGTGAGAGATTGGTCAATGGGGCTTGGTGACCACAAAATTGGCTATAAACTTTGGTGTTAAGATTTCCAATGATTTTATCGATCTAACAGGTAAATCAT